CTGCTTCTTCGATCAGGGGATAGGTTCCAGGTCGGCAGCCTGGGCTAGCAGGGTGGATGTCGTTGAATTTCTGTTTGTGTTTCATCCGTAGTCGGATGATGCTCTTATGTACTGTGATGTTGTATTCATGTGGTATTGTATGCCCTATGTATGTATCCCCATATATTATGTAATGTTGATGTAATGATATCCACCTTGCAAAAGTGTTTCAATATGCGGGTCTATCCTTGGTGGGACCTTCGAGTTCCTTTTGGATAGGGTCGCATATTGGGTGTGACAGGTCTACTAGCAACTTGGGATGTACACATTGTTTTCTTTGTGGTCCTGCAGTTAAGCGTGCATTACGGCCTCTATCTGACGACCAAGGGTACCATAGCGACCTGTCGTTTCGGTTTCCTCTCTTTAAGACGTGGCAACCTGCCGTTCTCCCTCTCCACTCACCGCTCTCCCACTCACTCTGCCAACCACCCAAAAAACCTCGCCACTCAACGTCTTGATGACCACGCCACCGCCGCCGCCATGGACCAGAGTCTCGGATGGCAGAAAGTCGTCGAAGAGCTGGCTGGCGACAACCCCGAGACCCGCGCGCAGTATAGAGAGATCGCGCGGTGGTTCCCAAGTGTTCAGATGATGAGGATCCACGCGCGCGGTCTCATCAAGGTGATGACGGAGGCTGAGAAGCATTGTGCCCTTCCCGGCGACATCGACGTTCCTCCGGCGACCATCCTTATCTGGGCAATGTGCGACATTCAGCGCTCCCCCGACCCCAGGCAGCGTGCCCGCTGGTGGATGTACCGCTCATCCACCACGCCACCAGCCCAGCCGGATGCAGAGCGCGTTGCGTCCAAGAACGAGCACGTCGACGACTTCGTGCTTGCCCTGCCGGCGCCCGTCAACGCCAACTACCGGGACCGTCAAGGTCCATCTGTCCTCCTCGGGCCATACGACGACTCCGACGATGAGTCATCTGATGAGAAGGTGCCAGAGGTCGTCGTGCTGTCAGACGATCATCCGGAGGTGCATCGATCCGAGCGCCTCAAGCTGCTCAAGAAGTGAACAATGTTGGATCTGCAGATGGTGCTTCTTAGGTATGCTGTTATATCATAGCATATAAGTTAGAAATATGATGCAGTTAGGTAGGTATGCTGATATATATGACATCATATAAGTTAGTAAGATGGGGTTGTTAGCTAGGTATGCTGCTATATCATCACAACATATAAGTTAGATCTCTTTTGGACATGCTATGGTTAGGTGTGCTACTATATACAGCACATAAGTTATCTGTAATTATGTGGTTTGGAAAGTGGACTCTGAATATGTATGCATGATGTTGGTATGCAACTGGAGTGCTTTGAATCTTGCAAATGTGGTGTGATGCACTGATGTGCTGCAAATGTTGCATACAGTACTACTTTATTTATTTCTTTCTGCATGTGGAAAATCTTGATATACCAAATGGAGCACTTACTATAAATAGCATTCTGTACTTACATATGGTACATCATGCAGAAATTCAGGTTTCAGACTGAATTTTCAGTGAAAATTCAGTTGAGATTCAGTTCAATTCAGTTAAGTTAGATTCAGTTTGGTAAACATTCAATCTAGTTAAATCCACTTTAGTTAGAATTCAATCAAGTGAAAATTAAAGTTAAGATTCAGTTCAGTTAAGTTAAATTTAGAGTGTTAGGTTAAAATTCAGTTAAGTTCAAATTCCCTTTAGTTAGAATCCAGTTAATTTAAATTCAGAGTGTTAGGTTAAAATTCAGTTAAGTTCAAATTCCCTTTAATTAGAATTCAGTTAAGTTAAAATTCAGGTTAATTTAAGTAAAGTTACATTCATTTAAGTTCAACATAACTCAGTTAAGTTTAGTTAAAATTATCAGTTAAGTTTTGTACAATTGTGCAAATTTCACTGAACTGATGACAATTGAGTACAATTCATGACAATTTAGTAAAATTTCACTGAACAAAATGTGGGCCTAATAATGGGCTTGTTTATTACTTTTGACACTAACATTTGACTCTAATATTGGGCCTACCTACCACCATAAATCTACTGCCTACCTACCAGCCACCTTTTCTACTATATAAAGCACCCCCCAATTGCCACAAACAACAGCCAAACCCAAACACAATCCCTTCTCCTCCCCCTAGCCGCCAGAGAAAACCCTAGCACAAATGGATCTTGGAGAGGTTGTCGATGAAGAAGAACAGGTGCCAAGGGTAGCCAGGCGCAAAGAGGCAAGAAGGAGGGAGCTCAGCGGATCCTTGCAGCACGCAACCGCAAGGACATGGAGCAATTCCTGGAGGCATTCCCCCTTGTCTCAAACACTAGTAATGATGATGTCATCCACTAGGCAAGGAGGAGGGAAAATTTCCATCCTTTTCAGATCACTAGGATGAGGTGGAGTAGAATTATGTATCCAGATGAATGAGCTGTTATCTGATGCAGTATCTAGATCCTCCTTGCTATCTAGATGAATTCTGTATCTAGATCTACCGTGCTATCTATGTAAGAATCTGCTGATGCATGCAATGTAATAAATCCTAGTTCCTCCTTCTCTGCTATGTGATGCAGTGTATGCAATGTAGGCAGTAACTTAATGAAATCCTGGATCTACCTTTATGTGCTCGAAAATACCAGTGTATGCAACTTTCAGCTAACTGAACAAAGAACAGTTAACTCAACCATATCCAGTTAACTACAAAACTAGTGTTATACAAAAAAAGTGTATAACAAATTTCATATTGTATAAAAAAACACAGTGTATACCACTGTTCAGTTAAATGCAATAACAAATAAGTTAACTGACACAACAAATCAGTAAACTGAAACCATTTTCAGTTAACCAAATCAATACCCACTTCACTGAATCTAGGTTCAGATAACTGAATAATAGTTCATTTAAACAGAAAAGCAATTCAGTTAACTGGCAGAGCATTGATAATTCAAATTCACTTAACCAAATCAAAACTGACTTAACTGCCACAACATTGATAACTCAAATTCAGATAACATAGTGCATATTAGGTCATTGCAGCAAATAGTATAGTGCATCTGGATAAAGGGCATCAGAGATAACCCAAATTAACTAAACAAGTCCACTGATAGTCATTAACTAAATTCCATTACAGCGCCAATGGATCACTCAAATTCATCTAGCAGCTCCCTAACCTTCCTTATCTTGCACTTGGTGTCCTCTTTATGCTTGAACAGGTCACCAATCATATACTCTAGCTTTTTTATCTCTTTCTTCAACTGATCCCTTTCTTCCTTCAATTTGTCCCTCTCTTGCTTCATCTCATCCCTCTCTTTCTCTGCCTTAGTCCTGACCACCTGATGAATGTTGGTCACTGATTTGTCAGCCATTTTCTTCTTCTCAAGTTCTATCTTTAGGTCAGACAGAGCTAGCCTTGTGTTGCCCAATTCAGTAATTGCCTGCTCTTTGTCAGCCACCATCTTAGCAAAATCAAGTTTGAAAAACCTCAGGTCTTTTTCCATCTGTTCCTTCTCTTTCACAACCCTAACATTTTCTTCAGCCTGAACAACAGCTTCCCTGATCCTGGTTGTGACCTCCTCTTCATACATGTCCGAGATCCTAGCTAGACTGGTCCTCAATTGTGGAGGCCACTCTGGGTCAACCCAATGCACATAGGGGCATTTAAGCCCATCCTAAAATTGAAGAGGAAATGCATAATTCAGTTAACTGAAGAAAATACAGTAACGCTGAATCAAAATTCAGTTAACTGGACAAAACTAAGTAAAACCGAATCAAAATTCAGTTAACTCACTGAATCAAAATTCAGTTAACTCACAGCACATTCATGTCTATTTTCACACTGCCCTTTGAGCATTCCTAAGCTACTTAACAACTAAATATTTGGACAACTAAATAAACTAAATGGCACAGAACTATGAACATGGCACATAATGACACAACAGAGCAAGTTCAATATCATATGTAACTAAATGGCCAAAGCATGTACAACCATGAACATGTACTACATCACTTACCATCTCAATCTACAACAAGGAACATGTAGTAACCTTTTGTGCACAACCCAGGAATCTTCTTCCACTATCAACAGACTCAAATGCAACAAGCTTCTCACACACTGCTTGGTGCTCACACCTATCAGGTAGATCTGCAGCAAGGCCTGCCCAATCGGTGCTCTCAATGGTACGAGGACCCTACAACAAAATCTGGTAAGAAATCCCATTTTGCCTAACCCTAGATACTAGATGAAGGTGGACAAGATCTCACCGGACTGGTGACCGAGTCGCCACCTGACGAGCAAGAGCTGGATCCGGAATCACTCCATGAAAC